ATAGAAATGTTGAAGGAGAAGGTATAAACAAGTTAGAGCGTGAATGAATCTTTTTAAACAACTAAAGTTTATTCTCGATTCGATCGAATAAATTTCTCAGAACACATAACATCTCCTTTTATAGCTTTCAATGCTTGATCTCGACTGTCTGACCAACTCTGCCGCTCTTTTTGAAGCTTCCTTTTGAGGGACCTGCTGTGACCGAAAGCTGTTTGCTTGTTGCTTTTACGTGGTCGCGACACCACATTAATTGCAACAAGTGGCGAAACAGGCGAACATTGCCGATGTGGAAACCCATAAACAATAAATGTATGACGTTTACTAATTCTGGAGAACTCTATCCTTGAAAACATTGAACAAAATAAGGTTTAAGGTCCACCATTGTTTGCACCTGTGCCTTTCGTAAGTTTATCCCAAAAAGTCTTCTAAGTGGTTGCAAACCTGTGTTTAATTAACATTTTCGACGTATCCAGCTTTGTAGTAGGGGCCACCAAGAAGCGAAATTTGTTACGACTTTTAATATTTCTGGATCATTTATTTGGTAAGGAGTCTCAAGAAACTCATGTCGCACGGCATCAATTAACTAGTTAAGCTTCGGCTAAACCGGTTAAGTATCGATTAATTTTTCGCTCTTTTTTTTACGAAAAGGAAATTATGAGTCTTTAAAATTTTACCGTGTCTTCCATCTTCAGCGTAATCTGATGACTGTTTCGGCAATGAAGTTTAGCACTGTGTACCGCCAATTATCTACAGATGTAAATGAAGTTTTCTGAAAAATTAGAGGCTTCTTTCTAACTGGAGGACTTCGTAGGGCAAAAGTCTGCTTCACTTGCATTTGAAGGGAAATTTTGAAACCTATAAGATTTTCTAAATTTCGGAAAAATTTTGCGAAACATCACAGACTGTGAAATCATATAAGAGAAGACGAGTAAAATCAATTTCTTTTCAAATTATTTCAGGCAATTTTTTACTTTCTTAAAGAAATATACTACAAAAATGGACAGGTTTTGGGGTCTAAATCTGCTATTACAGCATACTAAAAGTCAAAGAAAAGTGCTAAAAAAAGGAAAGGGAAGCCGAAACACATTGGTTAAAATATTAATCGGTTTCCCAACCTAACAACGTAAATCCTGCCAAGTGACATTTCCACACAAAGCTTTTCAACAAACAGAGTGTAGCAAAATAGATCAAAATTTTATTTTGCCAATATTTTTGCGTCTTTTGTAGCAACCAAAAATGCGCAAAGGTATGTCGGAGGCTTTAGATTTTAGTAATTAAACCTTGACTGCAGAAAAAACACAATATTCACTTAAAAATCTACTCTCATATAAAATGCAGCAACAAATATAACAAAAATTATGATCAATAATAAGTCAAACTGAAATTGGAAAAAATTAAGCGGTAAAAGCCGCAGAAAGGAAAAATGGCTGTTCAGTTATCGCTAAAAGCACATCACTACACAATGGGTTTTTTCACTTCACGGATCTATTTGGGTTGGCCTTCTTATAACATGCTGGTTCTAGCTGTTGCGTATTGTCAAGCTAACGCCAGTCGCAGATCAGCTTCCTTGTTTCGCGTTAGTCGCGACAGAGTGGTATCAGATCAGACAGATGAAAGACTGTAAGCAATAATGCAGTGCATCAGATAAACACCAGATAAAATGTCATCTTGAACTGCAGCCGTTAAAAGAATACACTTAATTTACAGATCACTTTTTCTGATCTGATCACCGTTCCGGCATTGAAGTGATCAAGTCTTTTTGCGATTGTGCACTGTGCATCGCTAGACCACATTTAGAAAATAAGCAATAACGGTCAGTTAAGAGGTCTGAGTGAGAGATTTTGCAAAGAATTTTAGCGAACTCTCGTGTCGAAGATGATACCGAAGTGGTGGAATGCAAACGCAGCAAAAATGATGAAGAGTTTGAAGCCGTTTTTATTTTCCAAATTTACACTTTAATCATCCGTGATTAGTGATCCTAAACCACGAAAAAATGTTTTTTTTTCAGTTTTAATGGCTCAAATGTAGAGAACAAGCAGACAACCTTTCATGTAATTCGAAGTCTGTCAAAGTACTCAACGACGGTCCCGGGGATTTCGGTTAAGGAGCATGAGGTCTGTGCTTACCAAACACGAATTATTTTTAGTAACGATTGCTCTGTGCTTCTTTACTGCAAATGAAAGCGATTATATAATACAGTTAACACCCACAGTAAAAAAAAACTCTTTTTCAGTCAACCTCGTGCAACGTTAAATTCAGGCTTTAAACAGTAACAGAAGTGCAAAATACATGTCGCCAAAGAAGTTTAAGAAAGAAGCAACTGCTGAAACTACGACGAATGCAAAACAGGCTTGAAACCAATATTATTATAATGGATTGTTACTACTACACGTTGAAAGCTAAACACTTAGAAGAATAATGGCTGTTTGGCTATATCTGTCCTACTAACTAAAACTTCTTGTTCTGATCAGCCACGAAAAAATTAAATCTTAGTGCTTACTCCGTTTAACAATCAACTTCACATTGGGAAAAATCAAAAGAA